GTTACCTTCACAAGGTCAAATGTACAATCAACAAATGCAGGCACAAATGTCCGTAGATTTGCAATATTAAAAGCTGGATTAATCATCTTTCGCTGTCTTGCGTGATCTTTACCATTCGACGCAAACAGTCCATTACCAGATCCAGGAACTAGACTCTTTATAAACGTCGATCGATCGAATTTATATGAGTTTGTGACTAAAACCTGTTTTATTAGATCTGCTCCATACACAACAACTCTTTCCGCACCTATAAAGAGACGACCGTGAAAGGGAGTCAATGTTACTCTTGTCCAGCTTGTCTGTCAGTTTATTAAGAGGGGATGACTAGGGCACATCCAGTTTATCCATATTTATGACTTCAAATAAGAAGTAAGAGRCARGTGCAGCATTTTGATATACACACCTATTTCAAAAAACGTTGTCGTCGGCAGGACATAGTCCATAATYTTGAGCCTGCAAAGAATCTCGGGTTGCCATATATAATATATTCACTTTCACAGTTTCACTTTCACAGACAAAATGTCTCATGGCATTTTTAATAATATTAGTTATGCATGGAAACCCTGAGATTCTTTGCAGGCTCAATACCGTGGACTGTTTTTTGAAATAGATGTATAAAGGAACAGAGACATGTACATAGATATCGCGATATATAAAATTCACTTGTCCGTTTTATATCTTGCATACTTTTCAATTAGGAATAATCGTATCTTTAGAAAGGCATCAATATTCAAAAATGTAAGTCTATGATACCCACCGATTCCAAAGCCCAATCCTGAGTTAAACCTAATGATAGGGCCATATTTACCATGCCAGTCTTGTACCTTATAATGTGCATTGCCTGCCTCAATCAAAGTGAAAAGATGCCCAAAGAAAGGAAGTCGACCAGGAGGTGAAGGAATCTTGCTCAAAGGAGAAAGCTTTTCTTGAATAATYTTATGGATGACCCAAGCAGCGAAACAAGCGATTAAGGTCAGAATCACAGACTGCCATGTTATCGATTGTAGACGACGAAAAATCTCGTTGAGAAACTCGAGGATCATGTCTCTAATTTCTTGTTGCTCTTTTCTCAATTTGATTGAATTTTAGGTAAATTACAGACCATATACTTCTAGCTGTGTTCAGACAATCAATCGTGCTAAAATCATGGCCGATGAATTGAAGCCTTTTTAGTATGCAAACATGCAATAGCGCTCCGCACAGATGACGTCACACACCTTGCACCCCGTCGAAAACTCAGACAAACTTAACAATGCTGCATACTAATCCTTATTAAATTCGCCATCTTTAGTCATCGATAATGGGTAGTTAAACGCAACGAATTTCTATTCTGACTTAAGATTATAACGTGTAGGGCTCTTAACTTTGATAAACTTGTAAAGAATTCCAAATTCGAGTGAATAAAACGATGTTTCACGGCGGGAGAATCTACGTAGCACTCAGTTGATGTAATATATTCATAAAGATATAATACAAAACACATAATACAATAGAACGAGAAACAATGGAATACAATACATTTTATGAATACATTACATCAACTGCGTGCTACGTAGGTCACCCC